ATAAGTAGATAAATACCTTCCCAACAAATTTCACCGAAAACGTGATTATAGGTTTTCCATTTAGTAAGGAAGTCCAAGTTGTGTATTCTTGACAGTTTACTAAATGTCGTTTAGTTGCAACTTGCAAGGTGCAGTGTGAATTCTAGTGTGATCATGGAAAATTTGGAAGGGCCGCGTAAACGACAAAAAATCGTTCCTTTAACAGTTCATGAAAAAACATTAATATTTAATTGTTTTAAATCATTTACAGACAAACATTTATGTAAAAATGTTGATGACAGTAGAATTAGTTAGTAGTACGCTTGGTGTTGGGAAATCTACGATTTACAAGAGTTGTTAAAGAAGAGAAATGTGGCGAGTTTCAAACAGCACGTAAAGCTCCAGGAAAACCAAAATTTCATTTAGAAAATCTTTTGAAAGAAAGACTTCGAAGGAAAGTGCATACGTTCTTCTTTAGAAAAGAATTTCCGGCAGTAGACAAAGTTCTTGCCACGGTTCGAAATGATAAGGATTACCCTGAAATGAGTCGAAGCACAATATGGAAACTTTTAAAAGAAATAGGTTTTCTATGGAAAAAGCATTCCAGAAAGTCAATTTTAATAGAAAGAAGCGATATTGTAGTATGGAGAAGAAATTACCTAAGGACTATAAAAGAAATGAGAAACCAAAGAAGAAATATATTTTATTTAGATGAAACATGGATCAACGAGGGACATAAACCAAATAAATTTTGGCAAGATGAAACTGTTACAAGTCGAAGACAGGCTTTTTTAAATAATTTATCTACTGGTTTAAATCCACCATCAGGAAAGGGGCGCAGACTAATAATAGTACACATCGGTAGTTCAAACGATTTTGTTAAAGGTGGTTTATTGACTTTTGAATCTACTCGTACCGGTGACTACCATGAGGACATGAATGCTGATGTCTTTAAAGAGTGGTTCGAACAAATTATAGATCTTCTTCCTCAGAACTGTATAATAGTAATGGATAATGCAAGTTATCACTCGAGACTTATAAAAAAAATGCCCACAACCAAGTGGTTAAGAAAAGATTTACAGAATTGGCTAAATTCAAAGAATATTAAGTTCCATCCCGGTTCTGTGAGAAAAGAACTGTATCATTTGTGTTCCCTTCATAAAGAGAAATTCAAAATATATGAAATTGATGAAATTGCAAAAAATCGTGGGATGACGGTGGTTAGATCACCACCATATCATTGCGAAGTAAACCCGATTGAACTGATATGGGCACAGATAAAGGGAGAAGTTTCAAGAAAAAATAATTCTTTTAAAATGAGTGATGTTAAACAGTTGTTTTTGGAGGCTGTAAATAAAGTGAAGCCTGAAAACTGGGAAAAGGCAGTAAATCATACGATTAAAGAAGAAGAGAAAATGTGGAAGTTGGACAATATTACTGATGAAATGATCGAGCCACTCATTGTAAATATTGGTTGCGACAGTTCATCTTCTGATTTCGATTCTGATTTGGATTTGTAGGTAAGAAGTAGTTTTTATATTAAAATTATTATTTATGAACGTAACGTTGTTTAAAAGTCAAAGTTTAAACCCTTATACCTACATAACCCGTTTGACACAATGTTCTTAACATACCTTGTGGAAAAATAAAACATTTTAGAAAAAATTGCACTTTTTTACCTTCAGCTGTTTAGAAGTTATAAGCAGGTTAATTAGGTGAAAATATAAGTGTACACTCGAGGAATAACTTCAAAAAATATGTTAACTGTCTACTAAAAGAAGTGATACGCCTATGGATTACGAACGCTTTATTATTTTAATACTCTCTCATACATAAAAATAGACTATAATGGAAAGATCAAGAAAAGAATTATACTTAGCATTCATTAACCTGAGAGCAACGTTTGACACGGTAGAACAAAAAAATATAATGTTTTAAAAGCATAACTAAAACTATAGATATAAAACAAGATAGTCAAGACGATAAAAGATTAAAGACAACAGTTATATATATAATAAAAGAATATAATAACTATAATCATAATATGATATGTCGTAAATTCAAAATTATTAGTTTCGGGAATATTTAATGGATTCCAAAGGTTTGAATATAAAGTGCTTTTTTTTTCAAAACAAAATTATTAAGATAGTAACAGGAGTCAATCAAATAATCAAATACGAATAAGAATGTTTATGCAATTAGTGTAGCCATGATGGAAAACACGCAAAGTAGGTATTGAAAAAAATGTATTTTTTTATATAATTAATTAAATAATTATCCTCTCTGTATATTTACTTACACGTCCATTTAAAAGTTTTTTTTTTTTAGTTGTTGAAATGAGGTATTTAAAATATACTACATCAGTTTGTTTTAAATAAAAGAAATTCGAAAAAAATATTTTAAAACAAGTTTTACATTTTAAGCAGATGTATCGCAAACATTTTGTTTTTTATTCATAAAAATACTATATTATTCTTTTTTTTTAATACATTTCTGGAGCAGACTATATGGAAAGCATAAAATCTAATTCCTATATATTGTTTTTAATTCTTTACAATTTAAAAAATTTATTTCAGCTTATATTACACATGCATCCAATTTAATTTGAAGGACAATGTAAAGTCTACACAGTAATGCCATGATTCAGTATTTTAATTTGTTTATTTACAGTAATAACATCACTGAGATAGAATAAAGAGGTTATTTAATGTATCGGCATCTTTGCATTGGCATTACACCTTTACGTCATGTGTCAAACTATCAGTTATGATGGGAATCAATACCATTTTTTAAAAAGCTTTATTTAAATAGTATAAAATATTTTTATTTATTCAATCTTCAAATTAAAAATTATTATTGACATCAGATTAATCAAAGTACAACTGTAAGTCACCATTTTGATTACACTCTAAGTAAGTGCTTCCTTCTGTAATATCGTAAAATAGTATTTATGTCGTCTCTACTTCAAAATATCTCGATGAATGACATCTATGATGATTCAGTAATTTAATTCGTTTACTTACGCTAATGACGTCTATTATGATTAAGTAATTTAATTCATTTACTAACAGTAATGACATCTATCTTGATTCAGTAATTTACTTACAATAATTACATCTATTATGATCCAGTAATTTAATTAATTTACTAACAATAATGACATCTATCATAATTCAATATTTTAATTCGTTTACTTACAGTAATGACATATGTCATGATTCAGTAATTTAATTAGTTTAATAACAGTAATGACATCTGTAATGATTCAGTAATTTAATTAATTTACTTACACTAATGGAATCATTAAGACAGAATGAAGAGGAGATGCTAGAGCGTTATTAAAAGTGACCGCACCTTTGAATTGGCATTACACCTTTAAGTCATGTATCAAACTAACTTGAACTGTCAGTTTTGGTAAGAATAAATGCTATTTTCTTAGAAGAGCTTCATTTCAATAATATAAAAACATTATCATTTCGTCAATCTTCAAATATAAAATTATAGACTTAAACTTAAATCGTTTACTAATAGTAATGACATTTTTCATGATTCAGTAGTTTAATTCGATTACTAGCAGTAATAATATCTATCATGATTCAGTAATTTAGTTCGTTTATTTACAATAATGACATCTATCATGATTCATTAATTTAATTCGTTTACTAACAGTAATGACATCTATCATAAATCAGTAATTCAATTCGTTTACCAGCAGTAATAACGTCTGTCATGATTCAGTAATTTAATTCGTTTACTAACAGTAAAGGCGTCTGTTGTGATTTAGTAATTTAATTCATTTACTTACAGTAATGGCATCTTCTAATTCAGTAATTAATTCGTTTACTTACAGTTATGATATATGTCGTGATTCAGTAATTAAATTCGTTTACTTACTGCAATAAAATCTATCATGATTTAGCAATTTAATTCGTTTATTAAAAGTAATGGAAGCCGTCATGAATTAGTAATGACATCTCTTATGATTCAGTAATTTAATTCGTTTACTAATGTTAATGATATTTGTTATGATTCAGTAATTTAATTCGTTTATTTATAATAATAACATCTATCATGATTCAGTAATTTAATTCGTTTATTTAGAGTAATGACATAACATTATTAAGTAATGTGGTTTGTTTACTAACAGTAATGGCATTTGTTATGATTCAGTAATTTAACTCATTAATTATAGTGATGATATCTGTTATGATTCAGTAATTTTATTCGTTTACTTCATTTTAATGTTGCAAAATAGTATTTATATCATCTCTACATCATTCTATCTAACAGTAATAATATCTGTCGTGACTCATTAATTTACTTCGTTTACAACAGTAATGACATTTGTCCATGATCCAGTAATTTAATTCGTTTACTAACAATAAATACATCTGTAATAATTCGGTAATTTAATTCGTTTACTAACAGTAATGACATATATCATGATTCAGTAATTTAATTCATTTACTAAGGGTAATGACACCTATCATAATTTAGTAATTTAACTCGTTTGTTTAGAGTAATGACATATATCATGACTAAGTAATCTGGTTCGTTTACTAACAGCCATAGCATCTGTTATGATTCAGTAATTTAACTCGTTAATTACAGTGATGATATCTGTTATGATTCAGTAATTTTATTCGTTTACACCATTTTCATGTTGCAAAATAGTATTTATATCATCTCTACATCATTCTATCTAACAGTAATAATGTCTGTCGTGACTCATTAATTAACTTCGTTTACAACAGTAATGACATCTGTCATGATTCAGTAAGTTAATTTGTTTACTTACAGTAATGACATTTATCTTGATTCAGTAATTATTTAATTCGTTTACATACCGACATGACATCTGTCATGATTCTGTAATTTAATACAGTAATGACGTCTATCATGATTCAGTAATTTAATTAATTTACCAACCGTAATGACAACTATCATGATTCAGTAATTTAATTCGTTTACTTACAATAATGACAACTATCATGATTCAGTAATTTAATTCGTTCACTTACCGCTTTTCGTTTGTCATTCTTCGTCATATTTTTTCCTAATTTCAAATCTGCCGCTACCATCATCGCCTCTTCCACCGACAACATCGGCTGAACTAGATCCTCTTGCATTATATACCTGGACATTTTTCTAAATTGTTTCAAATTTCTCGGCTGGCCGTTGACTAAAATCTGCCCTGTGGCACCCTGACATCTAGAACAAAATAAAATATACATATACAGGGTGAATCCTAAGTAACATCTTATTTAAATAACTTTTTTAAAAATCTTAAAAATAAGGAAATTATAATATTTAAAAATCTAAATCCGGACCCGGAATTAAGTATGAAATGTTGAGCTAACGCATCGTTCGGTCATCTGCAATCGCGTGAGGAAAAGTATCACTTTCCGCACTTGTTAGGTAAACTACTATTTTCTTTTATGGATTTAACCAATTGGATAGTAATCCATGATTTCCATTATTTACTTTGTGTTGAGCTTAATTTTAGTGATACATAAAAAGATCAAATGCTAATAGCAATGATTAATATTGACCAAATGTTGCTATGTTGCATTTGTATTGGCAATAAACTTTTATTGTAATAAAAATCTGTATAGTAATGAATGTCAATAAAATATAGCTAGTGAATGTCTAATAAATAAATTATAGTATGGAAGTAGAAAAAATTAATTAGATAACTCGATCTTTGGCCATATAAATGTACCTAAGTACTATTAAATAATCATCAGAAAAATTGTCATAATTATTATTTTAACCGACAATGTGAGATTAATTATCATTAGGTAATGATAAGTCAGTGCTTATTTTTTTGTTTAATGATACTGAACATAATTTAAGAACATGCGCGTGTCAAATTATGTAGCTATATAATAATTTTTTCTTAATATATTTATAATATGACATATTGCATAATATATCTATTTCCTTATATCATTTTCGATAGTTGTTATCGTATATTATTATTATTATTTAATGAGTATGATAGGAGGTCTACAAAAAATCCAAAAGATTTATTTTACTATAAAACCTTGTAGAATATTAAATAAAAACAAAAAATATCAAATTTTTAGCGTTCCTACATTGAAAAGTGTACGACTACACTCCTGATTAAATTAAACAAAAGTACAAGGTCCCCCTAATACATATTTTCTTTTAAAAAGCAAACAAACATATTTATAACTTACTTATATCCTGCTAGTATATTTAAAAGGGTACTTTTTCCTGCCCCAGAAGGACCTAAAATGGCGGTCAGTTGTCCTGATCGAAATTGTCCATTGACACTCCTTAATATCATTTTAGATCCTGTAACAAAATTAGAGTCGATATAATTTTAATGTTGGACACAAAAAATTGGAGGTTGGGGTTCTAGTTTAAAATGTACATTTCCTAGTAATTGGCATTTTTATTATCAATTTAAAATCTACACAACTGTTGATCCTCAAAATTTATTATGCGGGGTTGGCCTTATGAAATAATGCAATATGTTGGATGTATTGCCAACACTGGCTTTAGAACTTGTTTGTTAACCAGGACTTTGTTTTGATTGGAAGTGGAGAGTGCTCTCCTATCAACCAAAACATATTTCTATATATATTTAATATTTAACGGTTTAGTTTTTATTTTTACATCATCAAATGATGGTAATTTTATATTTTTTCTGGCATGTCATAGGTGTATAATAAATATAATACTGGGCCTAAAACATTTTCCTGATTTGAGTTCAGAGTATTCATTTTCTATGATGTGATAAATATAATTTTAATAGTTTAGGCCAGTGGTCGCCAACCTCTCAATGTGTTGAGCACTTTGTTAATTTGCGGAAGCCACGTAACGCAACGTAAATGAAATAATCCACAGTAAATTTATCATTATATGTATTTATTTTACTATTTAACTGGTAATACATAATACATAGGTACTAATAATAAACTAATAACAAAATAACTAATATTACTAGTACGTACTTGTTCATAGCTACATTCCTACCTACCAAACGAAGGTGTTTGAAAAATAAACACAAACTTTTATCCAGCCACAACGGCATGTCACGTAAGATTTAAAAATAGTTAATAATAACAACAAAAAAGTAACGCACTATCATGAACATAAACATTGAAAAATAAAAAAGCACGTTCAATGAGAAGGCTGACACTCAGACTCATCGATAATTTTTTTAATGTTTGCAGTATAATTTGATACAGCCATTCGAATACAATTATCCAAATGTTCATCTGTAAGTCGATTGCGATATTTGTTCTTAATAAACTTCATATTGGAAAAAGAAGATTCACACAAATAGGTTGAACTGAATAATGCTTTCACTTTCAATGCAACACGGCATAGAACTGAATATTTGTCTTTACTTACAATAGGCCAGATACATTTGGTACTTGAGACTAACGATTTTAAGACTAAATCATTTTGAAACTCAATTACTTCCATTTCTGTTGCAGCGATATCTTCGCCAAAGTTCTGCATAACACAAGTTGCAAACTGTTGGATATCAATTTCCATAAAGGGTGAAACAACAAACTGCGCTACTAAAGCCATTTCGTTGAAATCCTTAAAACGATTTTTGAAGTTATTCTTCAGGGTAGAAACTATTTCTACATGATATTTGCTGTCATAGGGTTCTAATAGATTTTGAGATATTTTTTCTGGAAGAATAGGAAAATGCTTGGCATAGCTGTTAATTAGGTTTTGTTCCCAAAACTCCAGCTTTTTGATAAATGCTTTTATATCAGAAATCATTTCCGCTAGTTCTTTGTCTCTCTCCTGAAGCTGCAAATTAAGTTCATTTAATTCATCTGTAATGTCCACGAGAAAACCAAAATCTCTAAGCCAGATTGAATTTTCTAGTTCCGGAGTCGGTTCATCGCGTTGTTTGAAAAATTGAACTATGCCAGATAGGACATTATTAAAACGTTTCAGAACCCGTCCTCTACTTAACCATCGGACTTCAGAGTGAAGGAGTAGGTCCCCGTATTGACAGTCAACTTCATCAGCCAAGGTTTTGAATAATCTTCTTTGTAACGCTTGAGCTCTAATCTTGTTCATAATTTTTACCACCAGTTTCATAACGTTGTTTAGTTTCAGGAAATTTCCACATAATGCTTGCTGATGGATAATGTAGTGGTAACAGAGAAATTGCGGAAAAGTTTCATCTTTACGACATAACGCCACCAGACCCTTATCACAACCCACCATAACTGGAGCGCCATCGGTTGTCAAGCCTACCATTTTCGATATTGGAATTTTCTCGGAAGAAATATTTTTTAAATGAGAAAACAACTGTCCAGTAGTGTGTTCTTTCAGTAGAATAAACTTCAAAAGATCTTCTTTAATCGTAAAATCGCTAAAAACCATCCTGACGAACACAGCCATCTGGGCACTGTCAACGACATCTGTTGATTCATCCAGTTGAAGTGAAAAATAAACACAGTTATCTAAGTCAGTTCTTAACTGTAAAAAAATATCATTGCTCATTACTTCTACACGTCTCATCACTGTATTAGCAGAAAGTTGCATAGATTTTATAGCTGAAACTACCTCGTCTTTATTTCTAAAGTTGGCAAATAACGAATCAGCAGCTTATAAAGACTCCTGTTTTATCATTTCCCCGTCTTCATAAGGTTTCTTTTTTTGTGCAATTATCTGTTTCAGTTTCTCCTTTCTGGCGGCAGAATGTAGTGGGAATGATTTTTTAAAATTAGAATGTACAGTTTTATGATGTCTCTCAATATTTCCTTTTTTAGCAACGGAGACCGAAGTATTACATAACAAACACACATTTTTATCTTTAACTTCTGTAGAAAAGTATTGTTCTTCTCATTCCGAATGAAAGTGGTATGTCTTTATCTTCTTACAACTGCTTGCCATAATATTATTTTTGTTGTTCTCTACTAACCCAACCGCTGGACGTTGGTTACGCGTTCAGTTTTAAACTAAGCGCAATGTCGCCGCGCCGTGCGTATTTATCCCGTTCAAAGCAATCCTGATCGTTCTCGAACACTAACGCGCTGGTCCGGCTGGTCGGTTCTAGCCGATTCTAGCTTGATGGCGTCAGCGGCAGATCGCTCATCGCAACGTTGTCGCTGTTTATGTTTAATATTATGACAATTAGATTTTTTTGTGGAATTTTCGGAAGCTTCTCTGATTTTTGCAGTTTGTATTTTTTAAATTAAAATCGTTGTGAGAGCTACCAGAATTGCCTCCGCGAGCTACCGGTAGCTCGCGATCGATAGGTTGGCGACCACTGGTCTAGATTTTCGTTGCATTTTATAGATAAAATTGTTTGAATAGTGGAAATGGTAGTTTTTGATTTGTAGATTTAATACAATTTTTTCTTATTTTTGTAAACGAACGCTTATGGTTTTTTACCAATGTAATAAGATTCGAATTACAGTTGAGAGAGCACGAAAATAATAGATTTAAAATTGGCCAAGGAAACTGGGTGTGTCTGACACTCTTTTCGATTCTATACATGAAATTAGAATATTTGAGTTTGTGTAATCACATGATTGTTCATAGTCAGACAATAACAAAACGAAATACTACATACTTTTAACTAGAAAAAAAATATATTGCATATTTGATCAATTGTATACTAATAAAGAAATTAATATTTCTAAAACATAAAAGGAATATTTTATTATTCATTTAAAAAAATGATAAATAAAATTAATTAGTGTTAATAGTACCAATTCTATATTAAAGTCCACCAATAGATTATATAATTACTAAATTTGAAAGATTATATTAGTTTCAATTACAGCAATTAAAAAAGAATAATAAACTTTTCAAATTTATAATTAATAACTTTATTTACATATCTAGTTATTTTCGTAAACAAAATTGCACCTCTTATACTGACACGAGGATAGATAATTGCAAAAAAAGCATATTTTATTTTATTGTTAAACTATTCAAAGTGATATCAACGACACAGGGAAATTAAAGGTACAATTAGATATTATTTGCATTTGAATTAAAAAAAAATAAGCATTTAATTGCTTTTAATAGCAATAATTTTTTAATTTGAAAACAAATATTATTTTAGAGATACATAATAGTACAAATCAATGTGAATACATTTCACAAACAGTGGTTGGCTTAGATAGGGGAAAGGGTAATTAAGGGGATCAATCTCTCCTTGATATTACGGAAAAAAAAAATAATGAATTAAATATGTATATTTTTGTATACCTACATGAAATTTTGAAAGTCCCAATATACAGAGAGAGGTAATTGGGTAATTAGTAATTATCCTAAGTACCCACCTTCCAATCTTCGCGCAATTAGCAAGTACCTTCCAATTACTATAATGTACTGTAACTAAGTATAACTGCATAGTGTAATTGCGTAGTGTAATGGTACCTCTCATTACCCCATATACATAGAGGTGTAAGTACCTCTCAGACAGTATTTACTACAGCCTATTCGCTATACTTACGCGGGTTTCGGATTAACAAAATTATGCAAATTTGACAACTAGTTCCAATAATGGAAATACTCATAAAATTTTTAATCCGAAACCCGCGTAAGTATAGCGAACAGACTGTACCTTAAATATTCCTAATCTTGAACTCAATACTATCACAACATTAGCTGATAATCATAGGCGGCTCGTGACCAAAATTTTGGGGGTTCCCAGTAGCAGAATATAGATCCCGGTACAGATATAGGTAAAAAACTGTCACTGTGAACACCCCCACAGCCGCCACTGTGATGATACTATCCTTACAGTTGCAAAAAATCAGGAAAAACGAAAAGATGGCGATAAAAATTTAATAAAAACAAATCTGTCCATATTAACTTCAGTGATAAACAAAATTAATATATTCTTATTAGAATAAACGATCCAATACAGCAAAATATATGGGTATGACATTTGGTGCTAGACTTCATTGGAAAGTCCATATTAAAAAAAAAAACGCGTACAAAATACAAAAGAATATATTAGTTGCTAGAAAAAAAAATCCAAATTTTCTACATACAACAAACTACTTCTTTACAGGCAGATATTGAAACCCGTACGGACTTATGGTATCCAGCTTTGGGGCTGTGTCAGTAAAAGTAATATCCAAATTATTCAACGTTTCCAGACTAAAGTATTAAGGAATATTGTGGATGTTCCTGGTACTGCCGCAATATTGATCTTCATAGGGGCCTTAAAGTGGAGACTGTGGAAAATACAATAGAAAACTTTGCCAGTAGTCATCAACAGCGATTGCTCTAACATGAGAACGTTGAGGTCATCCAGCTCCTTAACAGTGCTAATCTAATAAGGAGGTTCAAGAGAA